GTATGACAAGTACAAAAGGGGCAAAATTTATATCACATTATAGAGATGGCCATGTTGTCATTAGTTAAAAAACTGATCACTGACAGCAAAATTGTTATTTAGTCTCCAACTGCTAATGTCATATTCCTATTATTAAAAAATAAATATATGTAAAGTTCCAAGTGTGAATAAAACTTTATTCATTGTCAACATTTAAATACTGTCAATGGATAAATACTGTATAACAAAGCTCACAACAATATACAATTTAAACTTAAGAGAGTTCATCTTCAGAATTTTAACTAACATCTGATTTTAAAAACAATATATCAAAGTACTGCAAAGATATGGCTTGTCAAAGCAGATGTGATTTAACTCAAGTTGGACCATTGGCCAGTTCAGAATAAGAATGCTTCCTCATTCTGAAATGATAGAAATATGTCACTTTGATATCTATAGAAATGTCTGAAAGTATTGTTTCTAAATTAATTTGGCCAGATATCAATACACAAGATGGATTATTTAAATAATCATAACATGCAACTTTTAATATTAGAATGTTTTCGTCATCTGCCATTATTACCTTTCATATCTATCTATCTATCTATCTATCTATCTATCTATCTATCTATCTATCTATCTATCTATCTATCTATCTATCTATCTCTATATTATACTATAATTTAGATTTATAATATCCACTTTTATTTACTTATGACTTAATGTGATGTATAAACCATTAAGTGTGGCTAATGTATGAATCAACTAAGCATGGTTTATTCAATAAATCAGGAATTGATATGCTAGTTTAATGTTTGATCCAATCTAACATGTTATTTGATCACAAGAAAAGTACCTGCTCTAATTATGATTAAATAGATATATAAAAGCATTTCTTCTGCATCTTTCAAAAGTGTAATCTTTCAATGTCATGTTCGAGTTTCAAAAGTTAAATATATACACATTTCTGGTACAATATTTAATTGTGTAGACATTAGTCAAATTGAAAAGTATCAAAATGAAAAAAGAGAATAGCATCACATTTAATATATTGCCATAATATAGATATTACTGTCTATTAATTTGCAATAATTTTCAGTGAAATACCTGGAATAGTTCAGCTATATTACTGAAGTTCAATTATTTAATTATGTCCTATCATTATATTGTTGATTACAGGACATACCATAATATTGTTCATATTAATGGAATTATTGCTGTGAACCAGAGTTATGGTATGGATGTCCATATAGGTTTCCTAAATAAATAAATAAACAAAACTCTGTTGCATGAACATCAGTTATTCTCGGGTACATATAAAACTAATAAATAGGTTGTGGAATAGCTTTTTGAAGAAGGCTTACTTTAGATTTTAAGATTTCACATGAGAGTTCATTATAACCTGGAAAGGCAACCATTGAGTAGGAAAAATGGTATCACCTTCTTAGGTGCACCCCATATAGATTGAATTTATCTAGCGGTTCAGTATTTTGTATACATGTGAATCTAAGAAACATATGATTAATAAAAGAAGTTATCCTTTTTCATATTTTCTTTGTAAACCTGGCCCTTTGTATTTAGACAACATGCTTAGCCATTGTCAATTTAACTACTGTTTACTTAACATAACTGATTTTCTAGTTTTAATCAAAACTTTTGTATGATCTAAAGTATTATTATGTGCTAAAACTGAGTGATTATTATTTCATTATTTCAATATTTTTAATACTCTAGGAACTTATATATTTTCATTAATAAAACATTGTGACACATTATATTACTTTTGAAAATTCCCTAAATTTCAAAAGTATTCTTACAGATTGAATAGAGAAAAGCATCTAAGTATTACAAGTATCCTTTGAGTAAGTGTAACTAGTTAAAAAAATTTGTGGAATCCATCCATAATGTACAGATATGAAGGATAATAACACTAATGTAATAAATGTATATGGCACCCAACTCTGGGTTGCTAACAACAATCAAAGAAAATGCAAAAATAAAATAAAATAAAAATAAAAGATAACAAGTGCGATGAAGTGAGGGATCTTTGAGGGATCTTTGAGGGCCTGGGTGAAGAGCCAGTCTTTAGGGCTCTTCTAAGTAGCAGTAGAATGAGGACCATGAATGCTTTAATCACTTTATCATATAGATGCATATGAGTGAATCTGAATTAGCACAAATCTTGATAGCTATAACATACTGGTAAAATAATTATTTTCTAAATCATAATTTATAAAATAGCCAATGAACTCCCTACAATTTCATATACCGCTTGGCATTCCTTCCCTGTAAAAAGAAAAACAAACATTAAGAATGACACACAAAAATCTACATCCTAGAACAGGTGTCAAACAGGCGGCCCATGGGCTGGATGCATCATGTGCAGGCCATGCCCACCCCAGCTCTGAAAAGGCAAAAAAGTCACAATACATCATATGTCACGTGACACGATTAAGTTTGACACCTGTGTCCTAGAAAAACTTTTTTCTATATAGAGAGAATATAGCTCACTTTTTTATTCAAGTGCTGAAACTGCAGGAAAATAGAGAGCACAATAATATTTTATAAAGAATAGCTACATTTTGAAACTGTTTTATTTTTAATTTATTAAATTTGTTTGCCACTAAACTTACCACAGGGTAACTCTTCAATTTAAAACCGTTTCCCAAATTTGCTTTTGTTAAGTCTCTGTGCCCATCACATTATTATCTCATTATATTGCACAATTTCTATAAATCCTGAGAGAAGTTGATTAGGAACAAGCATACACTGATAATCAGTGACATATTAACATAATAAATAATAACATTTATCATTACCTTAATAGCAATAGCAAGACCACTTAAGACTTATGTACCGCTTCATAGTGATTTACAGCACAATGTTATTACTAGTTAGGAGAACATGTATTACATGTATTATACTGAATAGTTGCAGAGTTCAGAAAAATGGATGCTAAAATATTCTCTGATATTGCATATAGCTGGGTGGGTGGCGAAAATTGTGGTTACTTATTGTTGAAAATTCCCGACGGCTACTGTTCCAGTTCAATATTGTGTTGATATGATATACACATTTATCACAAATAAATAAATTCACGGTATTCAAGCACACTCCAATCACAATATAACAATGAATCAAGCCAGTTAGGCAAGCTCCAAAATATGCCAACAAACATAAGTCTTATATTGATGATAACATGTTGGCTCAATTGAACAACCATAGGTGGCTGGTTTAATTTGGTTTCCAGCAGATCGACCATGTTAGTCCATGAAGTATAAAAAAAACTTAGTGAATCTGAAAGAAAGAGCTATGCAATAAAGTGGACTACAATTCAATATACCAGATACAAAATACACGGTATGGAGTTGACCAGACACAAAATACATCGAAGTTGTCTGTAATCCATGGAAAATCTGCCATAATAAAGTCTTGCTATAATGAAATGTCGTCTGAATAATCATCAGGGTTTTTTCCCCAGCAGTGATTTAAAGGTACTGTATCTATACAAAGATAGATTTGGCACCTCAAGTATAAATCTGAACCGTGCAGCTTTCTTATGGCTTTGCTGTGCTAATAATACTGAACGAGAAGCTTTTGACAGTGAAGTCTTACTTAAGTGGATTTTTTTTCTTCTTTCATTCCTGAGGAGGGATGTTACTTCTAAGTAGGAAACTATCTGTCTGCCCGGCAGCGCCTCCAAAAGAGGCATTTTGGGCGTTATGAACTTCTCCCTTCGGGATTCTTGGCCTCTGTGGGATCAGTCCAGCTTGGAGTCATTTTCTGCAACCGCCACTAAAATTGAGCCCCGCGGCAATTGTTTACCAGCTTCCCTTGAAAGTCTTCACACAAAGCCCTGCTTTTCCGTGGGGCACCACATGCAGGCGACCAAGAAGCCCACTTCGAGATCCAAGGGACTTGGGAGTTTATGACCCAAGAAATCTCTCACGTCAGTTAAGGGACATTTGTATGAGCGTGTACGAACGAGCGCCTGCTTCTTCTCAAACACGAGTTCCCCTTTTCTCTCTTCTACCTGCGTCCCCGGCACCAAACTACTTACCGGTCTAGAAAAGACCGATTTATAGGTACGTGATCGTATTTGCGTGTATCGGCGCGTGCACGCGCCGCGCGCGGGAGACCGCGTACGGGGCCGTATGTGTGCGCCTCCGTGTGAGTGTAGTTGCGTGCGTTTTTCTCTTTGGGTGTAACAGGCGAGCTGTATGGCTGGCTAATCTGTCCTTCACTTCGCGAGCCAATGGCAGGCTCTCTTTTATAAAAATGAATGTTTTCGGTCTCTCTGGCTTTACATGCACTGTATGGGAAACAGTGTGCGGTGGGCTCTGTTCAGAGCTTCTCGCTTCACTTTCATAAAGAAGCCCTGAGTGACCACTGCTGCTCTCTCGCTCTCTCACATAAACACACACACACACACACAAGTGGGAGGTAAGTGCCCCAGTCTCCCCCCTTTTCCCTGAGCGACTCTGGAGCAAAGGCTCTTCTTCCCAACACTTCCCTTTCTATTATTACTCACTTAAAAGCATTGGGGCAACCCCCAAGGACCCCTCCAAGCAGCTCCGCCGCCGCCGCCAGCAGCGATAGCCGCCACAACCGGCAGGCTGGACTCTTCCGAGGAAGGCGCAGACCTTTTGACGTCCTCTGCCTCTTGCCTCAATTCCCGTTTACTTTCTGCCTCGACGCTCGCCTGTCCCCTGAAACTTTGGATGGGGGAGCCCGAGAGAAGGTCAGCGGATGGTGGTGGGTTGGGGTTCCGTGGTGTGTGTGTGTGTATATATATGTGTCGGGGGGGGGGGGCTGTGTGTGCGCGCGCGCGCCGGGTTTGGGGGGGGAGAGATGGGAGAGGCGGAGGAAAGAGGTGAGTTGTAATGCAATGCATTAGGAGGAAAGGCGGCGCGGGAGGGGGACAAGGATAGGCCAGCCAGTGCCAGGCGGCGTTGGAAAGCAGCACCTCTCTCACCACGCAGAGACAGGAGCAGCGGCGGCGGCAGCAGCGGCAGCAGCCACGGAGAGAGCGGAGGAAAATTAAAACTGGCACCCCACCGGAGGAATGAAAACAACCTTCCCTTTCTCCTGGTGTGTGTGTGTGTCTTGACAGGGGGCAGCAAGAAATGAAACTTAATTGTAAGAGTGGCGGCGCGGAGCTGGCGGGGGCATGTTGGTGCGTTGATTTATTTGCGTTGCGTGGCTCGTGTTTTGTGTCAGAGTGGGCGGCGGAGGGGAGAGAGAGAAGCTGGGTGCGGGGCGGAAAGCCATCTAGCAGGGCTCAGTTCGACTTGTGAGTTAGGAATCGGCATTTTCCGGTACAGAACCATATCTTTGCAAGGCACTTTCACTCCCTCCGTTCTGCCATGCCAAACAACAAAATGTGCAATTATCAGACGATTTTTTAAAAAGGAGACAGTGCGAGCTGAGGGGAAGAATAAAAGAGAGTTGGGGGGAGGAAAGGACGTAGGAGGAGAGAGAGGCTGTGTCAGGAGTTTGCATGAATGTGGGATTATGTTGTGTCAATAAGTTTAAGGTGGAGAGCGAGCGAGGCTGGGGGCGGAGGAAGGCCTTGGCAGTTTAAAGTCCTATTTCTAAAGGTAAGTTTTAACACCAAATGGTCGCGATGACAGAAAACTTGCAGATTATTTGCCCAGGAAGAAGAATGTGCGTCTTGGAGGCGTTATTGAGATTTCCACCAGCAGACGGGGGGTAAACTGTTATTTGCTGCTGCGAGATCGGGTCGACGGTAAATTACAGAAATCAGATTTGCATCCTGCTCTCTTCTTTCTCCCGGGTGTTTGATGTGAAACTTGCATAGCTGGATCCAGTATGGGGGCTTTTTAAAAAAAAAAACAGTTGAGCAAAAGGAGGTGGAGATGGGAGACGGAAAACGTCTCCTTAATCCCGGGATCTAGAAAGCGGTAGGTTTGTGTTAGGAATATCTCTGTAACAATCCGCTGCCGGTTGAATGAGGAAGGCAAAATGAAACGGTGCAAAAAAGAAGCAGAGGCAACATGTACGACCGGGAGGAGTGGGTGGGTGGGTGGGGTGGGGGACTGGAGACAGAAAATACAGAAACGCTACCGTCCGTTTTCCTTTTTCTGTCGGGGGGGGGGGGAGAAATAAAGGAGGGCGGGGAGTAAAACAAATAACCGGGTTGCGGTCATTCGTGTTTGATTCTTCATTGGTTCGCTTGTTTTTCATTTTCTGTTTCCCTTAAAAAAAAAGTATAAGGGGCAAATTAGCGACTACTTGCCGGTAGATGTCGGAAAGTTTGTCAGAAGCGGGGCGGGCGAGTGTGGAAAGGAAAGAGCAGGCTGCTTAGGACGCTGACTTGGCCTGGGGTTTTGAAACCATCGCCTGTCCTACTCTTGACACGTTTAGATCCCTGTTCTCATCCTATGCGCGGATGAAACAGGGACAGTTTTATCACCCATCCCAGACTCCTACTTATGTTGGGGTCTGTAGGCGCGGACGTTTCTATCCCCTCCCCCTTTCCGTCCGTCGGTCCCCAAACGTGTTAGAAGATGGAGCTACCACAGGATTCTGAGTTTCCATGTGGCTTCAGCAGCGGCACCTCTTTCTCCTCCTCCCCGGTGGCAGCAGCCGCGGGATCATAGCTTGGGCCTGCGCGGGGGGGGGGGTGAGGAGAAGGGAAGTAAGAGCAGCGGCAGAAGGGAGGTGTTTTCTGCCAGTGTGATTCACCAAATATCGCTGGGGAGGCAAAGGGTATGGAGGAGGAGGAGGAAGATCGGGGCAGATCTGGCGCCCCCCCTCTCTGTGCACCCTTCCTGTCTCTCTGCCTTCCCTCTCTCTGCCTTCAGGCTCTACTGCAAGGTGTTGTGGAGACTTTTCCCCGAGGAAGGTTGAGATTTGTATATTGCATTACTGCCTTTCATTAAGCACCCCCACCCCAGCAAGATGGACTCTCTCTTTTCCTCCTTCTCTTTCCCTGTGTCTTGTCAGCCTTTAAGATCGACATTTTGTAACTGAGATGCAAACTTGATGGTGACCAGAAGAAAAAAAAAAAAAAAGAAAAGCCCTAGGTTTCTTCTTAGCTGCTCTCCATATTTAATAACCTTCCTGTTCACCCTCAGACCCCACTGGCCCTGCCTACACTTATATCGTGGGGTAGGTGGCTAGTCCAGTGGGGGTAGTTTGCAAGCAAAAGCTCTTTTTCTTTTCTGTGTGCTTGTGGGAGTGAAATCTTGTTATTTTTTTTCTCTTTGGATTTTCTTGGTGAGAAAAGGGAACAGGGATCTTAATCAGGAAGTATGCTACAATGTTGCTGTTTCTCCTCTGTAGATCTCTAATCTATAGTTTGGATTCCATACCAGATTTTATTTGGTAAATGATGGTGGTGTAATTCAAATATATATGGATCCCCGATTAAACAATTACATGCGCACATCAAGGGGATTTCCTTCCTGTTTAAATTATTATTTCAGTGAGAGTTCAACTTTCTTGTTATTTGCCATCTTGGGTGCATTAGAGAGAGTGGCCCAAGAGAGAGAGTGAAGGAAAAACAAAAATAATTCATCCTTCTGATTACTTAGTCCCAGTGTCCTTTTATAAGCATGATGCTTCTTTCATTAGCTATTTAGCTGTCACTTTTATTTTATCAAGGCACCCCCTGATTCACATTTTAATAATAACAATGTTGGAGGGTTAAAGGTGAAGCAAAATAAGTTATAAGTTTGGGGTTCCATCAGCCTGGCTGCAGTATTGATATTCCTTTATTTAATATTTTCTAGGTCATTGTCACATGACAAAGGTTTGGAGACAGTTTAATTTTCCCGTCCTTGTAATTTTCATTTACCATCCCAGGTAAGTATGTAAACTGTATATAAAAATTGCTGATAATAATAAGATAAAATCTGCTGTTTGGGATCAAAGCTGCTTTATCACAATGTAGTAACAGATGCTATAGATTATTAAAATATACAAAACAGTTATACAGTAAAGTATTTAACAACTGTAATTAGTTGAAATGGTAATAATTAAAAAGTTATAGGTTAAAAATAATATAGAGTAGGTGTATCTGTTCATCTAATTTTAAAACTGCAGATATTCAGTACAACACTGATACTGAAATTTCTCGTCTTTTTATATTTTAATTACTTATTTTTATTGTACACATAAAAGTTGAGTATTTCTCTCATAGTACTAATAACTAAGCATTCCTGCTACAATACATATAATGAATGGCATTCTTATAAATAGGCTAGTGTAATAACTTTGTTGTCATTACATTCACTCAATATTAGGATGTATGCCTTTTTAGAACTTGGAAGGAAATTTTCATCTCTAAGTCCAATTTACGTTTTTTAGATAATTTAAATTTTCTACTGAAAATAATTTTCCATATTTTAAATATCTATCTATAAAGCCACCCATCTCTCAAGTAGTGACTCTGTGCAGCATACAACAAATATATGGGAATAAAATGTAAAAAAAAAACCATTAATTAAAAAGCATAAGGCATACATTAGATTAGCTGGATTAGCTAGTCACCTCAAAATCTCACTGGTCTGAGATGACAGAGCCAGGTTTTGAGTAACTTACTGGAAAGTAAATAGGGATGGAGCTGAGGGGCAGAGGAATATTCCATTAGGAGGCTACCATGGTAGAGAAGGCAAGCCTACTCAGGCCCACCAAGTGTAATTCCTTAACAGAAGGGACCCACAGTACATTTTTTTCTGCTGGATTGATGATGGAGGAGTAATTGAGGAGAGAATCACTCAGATAACCTTGCCTTGTCATGAAGGGTTTAAGGGTCAAAAACAGCATCTTAAATTGGACCTAGAAGCAGACTAGCGATCAATGCAATTCATAAACCAGAGGTATAACAATTGGTATACTAGGAGCACCCATAACACCCACTGCATTTTGCATCAACTGAAGCTTCTGGATACTCTTTAAGGGCAACCCCATATAGAATGCATTACAGTGATCCATATGGGAGGTGACTAGGGCATGAGTGACTGAGCAGAGCCCTCTGATTCAGGAATGAGCGCCATTGGCACATAGCACAAAGCTGTGCAAAGGCCCTCCTAATCACAACTGCCACTAGTTTTTTTAGAAGGAGTCGTAAGTCCCGAAGTCCTACCAGATTGTGCACTGGATCTGTCTAGGAGTCCAACCCCAGCACTAAAGATGTTTAGTCCTAGAACTGGCAAGGCCCAAACAGGGTTAAGCTGAAGCCTGTTTTTCCTCATGCAGACCCTCATATCCAGCAGGATAGGCTATTCACTGCATTGCTTAATTTTCCACTATTAGGAAAAGTAATAATAACTAATTATTAGTAATTATTGGAACGTAGCATCTATAGGGACACTAATATTTTAGGTCTTACAATTTTTGTTTTGTTTTGTTTTTAATTATTTATTTAACAGTATTTATAGCCTGTCCCAACCTTGAGAGACTCAGGTTATAAAAAAAAAGGTCTGAACAATAAAAGTTAATTCACAAAATTAAGGCATCATCAAAAAATCATCAATAAACATGGTGGGTATTTTTGAGATTGAATATTTTAAACTAAGGGCTAAACTCACACTGAATAAAATTGATTTGATCTGCTTACAAAATATCAGCCAAGTTGGGCCTTTTAAACCTCTCTGGTAGGCACTTTATAAAGTGAGACTGCCCCAGGAAGACTTGTTACCTGATTCATGCCCCATGAACTTTGCACAGAGGTGGGTATTGTGGCAGACCCTCTCTTGATTATTAGACCAGACTTGCAGACTTATTCTGCATCATGTTGCTTGATATATTATTGATATGCCTTATTATGGACTATGTGCATTTGGCTCCATAACCTAAATGTTTTTAAAAGGTCTTAGTAGTTCACTCTTTCATGAATGGATGCTCATATTTATTTTGCCATTTTAAATATGTTATGTTTTTAAATATGTTATATTATGTTGTTTTGGGTAATGAGTAGTTTCACTTCTTTTTTTTTTTTACTATATTTTTTATTTTAATCAGAACAAAGTTAAATACAAAATGCAAAACTAAATAAAAATCCAAGAAGACATAAAAGAAACACAAAACATAAATCAATCAGAACATTAAAAAGGTGCATCAAAACAACAGTAACACATTTTATACATATTATTCCCTGTAGTTGTATACTGAATAATATATTACTACAACATTAGTTCCCACCCCTTGTGAAACAGGCCCTCCCAAAATTTTGAAACTACTAAATCTATTAACAACTTGTTGACCTGTCTTCTATATGTTACATTAGTGACAAAGTAGTTAACAGGGAAAACAGTAATAGTAAAACAGAACAAAACTAAAGTTTTAAAATTCTCTGTTAACTGTTATTGTAATCCATTCATAGAAAATTTACCATGGCATCTTAACTTTCCCGAATCATCGCAAAAGTTATAAATAGATCATCCTGGGTCAAAAATCCATGTTTGTTTCTTAATATCCTCTCTTGTCAATTGTTTAATTAAATGTAGTAAATTCAATCTCTAGAACAGGTCTATCTTCAAATCAGAGTGCAAGCAGAATTAGTTAACAGTTAACTGTAATAAATCCATCCAGTCTCCCTTTATCTGCATCCCTCTTCCAAAACTTATACCACATAGTACAATGTGGTTTAATGATTATGTATTAGGAATATTTCACCTGTGTTATATAAGTGGTAAACAAAGAATTTGCTCAGATTCCCTATTGAAATAAATATTCTAGCATAAAAAGAACCCTCTACCTCATAGCAGTAGTAAGATAATGGATGTTCAAATCCCTTAATATGCAACTACACTAAAATTCTATGCCTAATATGAAGTATGATGATGTAGGAAGGCAAATTGTTTTGTCTTCTTTCACGTTGTATTACTGCAAAATTTTAAGAAAGTGATGAATACAGAAAACTATACTGTAAGTAAATAATATTTACTGTCCAGACCACCATGGTACACATACACACACATACACAAACATCTTTGTTTATTATGTGTTATAAATATGCAATTGTATCAAAGCCTTACAAGTATAAAACTGTGTTTTGGAACAAACTCTGTCATAGATTAGTTTTAGAGGCAGCTTAGTATTTAGTAAAAAATGTAGTTTTTAAAGACAGCGCTGAAGTAATTTATGGTAAATTTGCGCACAGTGAATTGGAAAGTGTCCAGAAACTCAAATAAAAATGCAACTAGTCCTCGACTTACAACCATTCATTTAGTGATTGTTTGAAGTTATAACCGCACTGGAAAAAGTGACATTACTATTTTTCATACTTATGACCATTGCAGCATCCCATGGTCACGTGATCAAATTTCAGATCCCCTAGGAACCGGTGCATATTTATAACAGTTGCAATGTCCCAGGATCATGTGATCACCTTTTGTGACCTTCTGACAAACCAAGTCAATGGGAAAGCCAGATTCATGTAATAACTCTTTTACTAACTTAATAACTGCAGTGATTCACTGTGTCAAGAAAGATTATAAAAAACTCACTTAATAACTGTCCCACTTAGCAATAGAAATTTAGCGCTCAGTTATGGTTGTAAGTCAATATCTTGCTGTATATCAATACATTTTTGAATGCATGTTTTTCAAATCAAGATGTTGAATTAGTATTAAAATAAGTCTGGATTTAGGTAAACTTTATTTATTTATTTATATCCCACTTTTATTACTTTTACAAATAACTCAAAGTAGCAAACATACCCAATATACTTTCCTCCTATTTTCCCCATAATAGCAACCATGTGAGGTGAATTAATGGCAGAACTATCAGCTAAAGTCCAGTATTGACTTAATCTTTACATCTTATATTTTAGTTGAATAAATAATGTTCACCTTTAAATTAATCATATGGAAAGCATGGTTAAGTTTGAATCAAATTCAAAGCTATTTGAGAATACAATTAATGAATGCAGATTGACTTTATTGTAGATATGCTTATTTGGCTGACTATACTAAGTAAGTATCTTAGGATATTTAAATAAAATCCAGATAAATGCAGGTGTTGCTAAATAGATAACTAGATTTGGTAATTGTTTAGCTACTTTACAACAGGGCTGCTTTTTGAGAGTGCTTTTTGATTTGGGCTATCACTGAATTCAAAGATACTGGTGGAGACTGTTTTTGCACATTTGCAGCTAGTGTACAGGTACAGGTCCTACTATTTTTCCTGAACCAGTAAATTATCCATGGCTTAATTAAATCCTATCTTAATTACTGCAGGAAACAATCCTTGAAAAGGTATCACAAGTTGTAATTAGTTGAAAAAGTGACAGCTAGGCTGATGTCCCAAACTAGGTACAAGAAACACATGGTACTAGTATGGTATTTATCTTTAATGCCCTAAAGGTACAACAGTATCCTAAAGATGCAGCTTAAGGTACAACTAAGATATGTTTTTAGTTACAAATTTGCCAGTAATCACAATCTGCAGGAGAGGTTCTACTGACAATTTTTCTGGTATTAGGTGCTTGTTTTGTTGTTGATTTATTAGATTCATATCCTTATTTTTGTCAGGAGCTCAAGGTGGCATGCAGTGTTCCCTCATCTCATTTCATACAACAATGATCCTGTGAGGTGTGTTGTGCTAGGAGGCTGAGAGAAAGGGCTTTCTTCTGTATTGCTTCTGGGTTCTCTTCAGAGTTGCAGTTAGTCCGTTCTATCTTCCAGTTAAAAAAAAAATCTAGAAGGATATTTCCAAAGGGCAGAATGTTAATTATCAGTTAGTTTAAGAACTCTTTTTGTTTGTTTAAATTTTGTTTGCTACTTCGTGGGTTCATTTGAGCCAAAATGGATTATAATGGAATACATTAATAATGTCAATAGAGTTATAGTTTTGAAGCA